ACATGTCTGTCGGCAAATTTCTGGAGTCACCATGCAACATAGGCCTTTGGCCTATTTTAAATTAATAGAGTTATGACTCAACAACCCATAGTTACCGTCCTTAGTGATTACACCAGTTGGCTGGGAGGCAGGCCCATGGGGTCCACGTTTCAGTCACACAATCAACGGTTGGTTGTGACAATGAACATGCAAGACTGCATGCGACTCTTAGTTTTTACAAAGTGCGTGTTGGTTAGCTGGGTCTTTTGGTCGGGAAAGAGAAATTTTGTCAGTGAATTGATTCTCAAACAAGATAACGAAAGCTCTCTAATGGTTGAAGTTAGACTTGTGCTAAATGCGTGACAAATTTATTATCACATTCACACTTGTTTGTGCAAAATGTGTGTTTCATAACTTTAAAATACTGGCCGTCCCGCACGATGCAAGACAGTTGGTAACTGAAAACCTATGTGACCTGAGTTGTGTATGCAAAGTCACAATAAGCATGACACTTGCCTTTTCACTGGAAAGGCTGTCTCTTATACACATCTAGATGTGTATAAGAGTCAATCTTTGCTCTCCGTGTGTCTTCACATCTTCTGGTGTTTATTATGCGTTCTCTGTGCGCACGGTATTTTTCACACACCATACAATGTTCTTGTGGTGCGTGAATTGGTTTTGAGCGATCGTTATGCATCGCTCTGTTTAGTTTTTCGTTGTCATTCATTTGACTGTGGCATCTCGCTTCCGCCCCATATACTCGGTCCTCGTAGGCCAGTATCCTTGTTAGCATAAAGCGTGCTTTCTTTTCCAAGTGATCTGGATCTTCCCTCCTTTCTAATTCTTTTAAGTGTTCTTTAGTATCGTTTTGTAGGTCGTAGAGGATCCTCTGATCCTCGTGTGTTTCAAGTAAGGTTTCGTATTTGCGTTTATACGCATTGCGGCTTCTGGTTGCTTCTCTCATTACGTCATGCACTTCTTGAACATTGTGTTCTATGTTGGACAATAGCAAGTTTTTGTCCTCGTACTCGGCTGTATTTGCCGCATATTTTAGCATATTTCGCAGCTGCTGACTTATTGTTACAATACGGTTGTAATCAAGTTTGAGTACACTTACTTTTGCTCTGTGTTCGATGAGAGCCCGTTCACTTTCCGCTTCCAGTACGCTGACTTGCATTCTAAACACTCTTAGTTGTTCCGTTTTGGTTTGCAAAAGTTCTTCCATCTCGTATATCTCGTCGGCATTTCGTTGGTCTTTTTCCTGTGTTAGGTTTATGTACTCATCGAATTTCACCAGTGTGTCTTTTAGCAAGATTTTGTCCTTTTGTATGTCATGTTTTTCTTGTATGAAGTTTTTAAAATCTTCATCTAATTCTTTCTCGCAATCCTCAAGTTGTTTTTCCTCTTCATCAGTGATTCTTTCTATGCTGCTGACCGCTTCCATCGTATCTATGATGTTTTTTTGTTCTTCCTCATCAGTACGTATTGTTATCGTAGGAATTTCTTCCATGTCATCAGAACTGCTACTAGAAGGTTTCGTTGACTGCATAGTTTATCGCTTTCTCCAATATGTCTTTTATGTGTGTAAAATGTACACACTGCTGTTGCCAATACAATGGAAATAAACGTCAATACTAACCAAAAGATAATCACAAATATCAGGCACGTTCCGCAATCTGAGTCTGAGTCTGTCTGATCCATCGAATAACTGTGACTATTTTCTGGTTTTCCCGTCTTTTTATGCACTCGCCTGGCTTCCCTTGCTAAGCGTTCGTCCAATTAGCTGCCTACGCGCTGATTTCTGCTTCCCCGATTGGCTCTACGCACCGCTATTCCTCTCACGTCCGCTATGCTAATCGCGTACGCACAAACCGTGATTGACAGCGCACAGTTACTAATTTTAGCATCGCGCGTCTTCCTTCCGTACGCGACTTGTTTACTCCTTGTATTTTTCCAACACGTGACTCAAGTGATTTTCTCTACATTCGTTTACCAATTTCCAACCATTATTTAGCCTTCTATCCTTTCCTAAAGCTTTTTACACCCCCTATCAGTCCTATAATGTACCAAATACGTTAATTAGGGGTTTACACCAGTTCTTTTTTGCCTCCTGCCCTCTATCAGGTAGATATTTGGTATCTTACTCCTTATGGGACTTACTTCTAGGGGGAGATATGTAAAAATCGCCATCTAGAACTGGCCCCCTCCCGTTATGCCCTGTTCAATCAACAATTGAACAGGGCGTAACAAGGGTAAGGGACCAGTTCTAGGGCTATCGGAAGATTTATAAGGCTCAAATGCTTACGCGCGTTCCAGCCAATCGATGCAAAGCTGGGCTTTTGGAGAGAAAATGGTTGGTAATTGGTAAACGAATGTACAGAAAATCACTCAAGTCACATGATCAATTATAATATTCATTTATTAGGTACTTCAAAGTTGGCATATCAGATGAAACATCATCGTATATGTAATCAAATCTACGCCTAAGAGCATAGTACACCTCGTGATAAGAGAAATATCTCTTGAAATTAAATTTAAAAGGTAAGTTGCTTGTAAACACAATTGCACGAGGGAACCATGGCACGTCGCCATGCTTGACAGGCACAGTTATAGGCCATTTGTCCAGAATGTTCAACATCAAAGTCGGGGTCATTACAGGCTGGGGTCCACCTTTGGTATGTAGAACGTGATGATAATCGTCGAAAAGGACGACAGATTGTCCGGAATATCCGTCGAACCAGGGATGTAAATCCGCCATGAGACCGCTCCATTTATAGATTTCTCTAGAATCGATAGATTCGTAAATCCAATGAGTCTTACCGGTTCCACTCTTTCCGTAAAGATATATAACCAAAGGCTTCTTGCGTTTGAGTAATTCAATATTACAATTTTCTATTCGCAGATCGTTCATAATGCCACATGCAAAAAAAAAGAAGTAAATTCACATTAGCAGTGGAAGAGGCTATATTGAACTGGAAGAAGAAGCAGAACACGCAACAACATTTCTAGGAATGGTATTCACAGAACTGGAAAAATGACAGCTATACATACCTTATGAGAGGCAAAGATACTAGAAACACAAGACAGAGCACTCGCATAGCAAAAATGAGGAAAATATGTCACATCTTTTGTGTTGGTTAAGACATACTGTATGCTGCACCCTTCCCTTTTTATTTAAATGCAAGTTTATCTGTACCTGGTCCAGACGTACAGGGCGCCCTTCTGTTAAGCACACTTCTCTTTCCGCTAATGATGGAGACTTTATCCCAAATCAGAGTCCGGTCATATGATTCTGCACATTTGTGTCTGTCATTTTATTCTTTTGATTTATTTATGCCTACTTGTTTTTATCTTATGGATAATGGAAACGATTTCTACCTCCGCAAAACAAGGTTATGTATTCACAGTTATGCAAGTTTGGCAGAGGTTTCTCTAGATCCACCCGTACGTGGCATCCCATTGTTTGTATTCCCACCATACATTTCTGTGGAACAGTTTTTTTTCTGTGCAGAACTTGTGTTTTAAGTGTCTTTGTATGTGCCTGTATGTGCTGTTGTAAAAGTCTTGACTGTCAGATATGCAGTACAATTTTAGGATTACAGTACTGTAGTAATATTATTCATATATTGTAATCACAAAAACTAAAGGAAGTTTCTATATAACCATTGTAAACCTTGTATGAAATGAAGTAATGTATTCAATTCTCTTTCTACAGGATTGGTTTACCAGAGGAATGTGCAGGGACAGTTGCATTCTTATGTTCTGATGATGGTTCATATATGACAGGAGAAACATTGGTTATAGCAGGAGGAATGTCAGCTAGACTATAAAAAGAACTTATTTTTTTTTTAGTTCCATCAGGGTCATTACATTTTTAATAATTTATATAATAAAGAAAATTAGGATCTGTGTTCTGATTACTGAAATTTTGAAAAATTAATTAATGTTAATTACTGCCTGAAATATAGGGGAAGTTGTGTTTATGATTAAGACAATTCAGTATTAAGTGAAGTTTTCAGGAAAAATGCAGGCCTTTAGTGTGGTAATTTATTTTAACATTTAAACAATGGAAATTTCAAATTGTTATGAGTATAATGCTCAGATATTTAAGATACTGGTTATGAAGAAAAAAAAATAAAGAGATTGATTACACCCCTGAAAATTGTATTTACTGTTTGTATTTGTGACTTTTATTCTGCAATGTATTTGTTTACAATTTTGAGAATTTGCAAGTCATTAAACATATCATCATACATCAAACATTAAAATCCTATCAAGATTATCATAGCATCAGAAGTTTTCCAATAGGCCTGAAAATAGAAGTAAAGTACAGTATAACAAA